AAAAATTGCCACTAATTATAGGAGAAAAGATAAAGATAACGTTGAGTAAAAGAGGAACCAAGCAAACAATACAGGTCAAATATTTTAAACTGGGTCAAAGAACCAAAGACAGAGTAAAGTCACAGAGCTATATTAGTGAACCAGCAATAGAATGAGTATGTGTTGACCTAAGGACAGATCAAAGTCCAAGCAAGCAAACTGTCATGCTCATCAGAAAATAGATTGTAATTGAAGGTCTCTTAAGGCAAGGAATTTTCACTACTCCTCATTTGACAATGCAGAGGACTGGGAAAATAAGTGGTTACAATCTCTCTTGCAGTGCTTTATGGTGAGGACATTCACCGTAATTAATTTTGACATTTGGATGCCTTTATTGAAATAGAATCATGATTATGTATGTAGCAATAGGGCTCATGTATTAAATTCTGTTGAAGCCAGGTAATGTTACCTTTTGTTAATTTTAAATCAACCAAGCATAGGTCAATATGTATGATGGAGGGGAGGAGGGAAAGGGTAGATTTTGCTTTGGAGCAGAATTTATTTTACAGACATGCCATAGAAACAAAATATTTGGCCCAACAATAGTTAAAATATCTACAGTTTAGAAAAGATATATTAATTTTGCTGTATTAACATTTACTTAAAATATATAATGGATCAAGTCTGTTAAATGAGAATGTTTAACTTTCTAATGTAACGTGAAGCAAAACAGCTCTTTTATCAATATAAAATGACATTCAGAATTACTTAAAGAGAATGTTAATTACCTGTGAGCAAAATTTATAACCATGCTTAATAAAACTCTTAAACTATTTTGTCACTCTGATAGGTGGCACAGAATATCTGGTAGTGCTTAACTAAAACATATTTGACAAGGATTTTATTTTTAGATTTAAAACTTTGTCTTAAAAAGGCCCAAATTCTACCTTATACAAAAATTGTGGGGCATAGCTGTAATCCTATGTATATAGGTTCCTAGAAGAAATTCATATTAAACTCAAGAGTACTAAATTCTGAGTGCAGCTTTCTTAACAGCTTTTAATAAGAAATGCACACAACTTGCTTAATTTACTTGCCAAACCAAATACAATCTATTTAGTCCAGTGTCCCAACAGATGACTTTGTTCCTGTCTCAAAAATAACTTGGAGGTATGTTTCCCTGCATTCCTGTGCACTAATATGAACAAAGGAGCTTTTTTCCTTGAGGACATTGGCATCTACACTATTTCTTTAAAACAATCCTTTGTAGTTCACATCAGGAGTGAGATAAATTTATCTGATAACATCTGCTATATAAGTTGGAACAAATTGATGCTTACTTAAAGTACTTCCTTAGATGTAAATATAAGGCATCAGATCTGTATGATATCAGATGCATATTGAATAAGGCAATTATGCTTCATACACCTGGCTGTAGAGTGGTGGAGGTGGATTCTGACCTAGAAAACATTTTTTGCTTCAAGCTCTACAGTACATTCAATAGTATGACATACCAGTGAGTTTTATAAATGTCTATTATTTAAAATAGCATAGTTATCTTTCATCTTATTTAAAAGTGTGTTGTGCAGTCTCTGTAGAAACCTTCAGAGCAATGAACTGAACCACGTAGCAAACCCAGAAAAAAAACAGTGGCCAAAAAAATTCATAAAACAAGAACACATAATGAACATAACATTATGTGTGTCCAATCACACTTGGTCAATAAAGAAATCTGTTCTGTTCTATCCTATCCTATCCTATCCTATTCTATCCTATCCTATTCTGCAACTTGGACACAATAAATCAAGTTGTAAATATGCATGCCTGCTTAATAAGAACATAGCAATTTTTTCATTCTACCCTTCTCCTGTATCCCATGTTTCTGTCAAAGTAATGGTTTATACTATATGAAAGTTGCACAGAAAGATATTCTTTGCAAAGCATGGGAACATGAATTAAAAACTTCTTTTCAAATCCTTAAAACAGCTGCATCTTTTTCTGGCTGTATCTATCAGTTGTCCCTGTGTGTGGGTGCATGCAAAATCTCTTTGGTTTGCTTTCTTTTCAGCAAAATTCTTCTTCTTCATGCAATGTAGCTTAAAATCTTTTTGGATGAAAGAGAGATGGAAGTGGTTCTTTAATGTCAACCAAGGTGGGAGTATTATCCATTTATCTATAGCAAATTCTGCCAGTCAGCTCTTCTCTTTTCACACACTGAATTTTTTGCTGCAAATCAGCCAAGGCAAAGGCACCAGAGTCATTAACAGCCTTAAAGCAATGATTTACTTTAAAAAATAATTCTCTCCTTTAGATTCCAATTTTGCAAACAGAAGAATGAGTTAAAAGGAAGGCATTTTGTAAACCAGGCATAAATCCAGAATTCAAGCTAATATAAGCTGTCTGTCAGTCTATGAGCCCAGAATGACGCTATTGGGTCTGTTTTTCTGACTGTTCTCCTTATTGAGTCTTTGCCTAGCACTTTATGTCTTTCTTTCATCATAAATAGATTAACTAGATTTGGAAATGGAGAAAAATCTGGGAATCAGTATATAGTACAAAATTAGATGTGTAGAGATTCTCAGTCATCCGGGTCATAGTTGTCCCAAAGGTGCTTTTCCCCAGTTGTCTCCAGAAAAAGCATCTTTGGTACAAAATTAGGTGTTTGTACTGTATATTAAATGGTTTTCTTTATGTATCTTCAGATTTAAATGTAATTGAGAACTAATTTGTTCAGTCTCATTCATAATTTGCTAAATGCAAGAGTCTAAACACTACTATGCTTAATGCAGTTAAGAACCTTATTGTTTTTGTCCTCCAATTTTTTTTTAATATGAATGGCAAATAACACGTGTATTTTGCATTTTAGTAAGAAATCTTGATAAACAAAACTACAACCCAAGTAATTTAATGTAAATATGTTTGATGGTATTCCCAGATTGTGGCATAAAACAGTTGCTAACCGCATGCCTTAGAGAAAGTAGGTGGTGTTTATCTTGTGACTGCTCAAACGAACGTATGTTTTAAGTGATAAAAGAATATTCCTTGAAAAACCGAAGTTTGAATGAGTCACTTTTTATAACTGGAATTGTTTGTATATATGCACAGACATATGCATACGCACATCTTTGCCTAGCAGGCCGGAATAGATTAAACTATTTATGGTGTATATGTGTTGAGTACTGTTAAACTGTGTATATCACTCTTTAGCAATGTTTGTTAGAACTCAGAGTTCTCATGTGAATCATAACAAAAATGTGCTGACAAATCTCATAAACCTCTACCCACTGTTTCCTCAATCTCGATAGTATCTGGACTACATAATGCTGATCCATATAATTAGGTCAACTGAACCAGTTTTATGATAGCAGTTGACACAAAGTACCTTTGTAGCTTTATCTCAGCCCTTCAAGGTAGGCTAGACTAGGAAATCAAAGTTATGAATGCTAATGCTACTTTTATTATAAAGTTACAGTAACAGGATTTTTGAAGTCCAAACTACTTCTCCCCTCTGTGGAGGGTCATATCTGAAACACTTTTCAAATTACATTCATGTTCCAGACTCAGATTTCTCTTATTTGACTTTTGTCGTGGTTCTGGCTCTTGTTAAGGTTATTCTTTCTGCCTTTTATAATTTAGTAGTTTTGACTTTATATGCTAAATCTAGCTGGGAAGACCAAAATTTACCTATGCAGAAATGCAACTAATGTATTGGGTTTCATAGAGTAAAGTAAGCATAGGTTGTTATATTAGTACTTGGAGTTTCATTTTCCTTATCTTCTGCCAGTCATCCTAAGAACTGTTTTAACAATTCATCAGCACAGTGTGTGTGTGTTTGTGTGTATGTGTGTGTGGTGTGTGTGTGTGTGTTTGTGAGAGAGAGAGAGAGAGAGAGAGAGAGAGAGAGAATGCCTATATGTCAAATCTGTACTGAAGAACGGATTGGTTCTCAAAAGAACAATGAATTTTTCAAGTTGATTTTAGGTATTTGAATGTTTTTGTTTGCTTCAAAGTTTGTTTTAATACTTCTAAGCAAGTTTCCAGAACTATATAATTTGGTCCAAACTACCGTGTTTCCCTGAAAATAAGATAGGATCTTATTTTCTTTTGACCCCTGAAATAAGCACTTGGCCTTATTTTCAGGGAGGTCTTATTATTTTTGAAGTGCAGTAGGCAGTGAGCATGGTCACCTCATGGCTGCTGCTGTGTTGCAATATTTTCAGGGAAGGCTTATTTTCAAGGGAGGGGTTATTTTAGCGCATGCGCTCAAAAGCCCAATTGAGCTTATTATCCAGGTAGGTCTTATTTTCAGGGAAACAGGGTATATTCATGTCAGAATATTGTTTTTGACCTAACTACTGGCTGTGAAGGGAAAGCAACTGAGGAAGGGCTTAGCTGTGAATCATTTTCCACCTACTGGTATATATCTATCTTCTGTGCCCAAAAGTGCTGTTTACTATATACAATAAAGCAGTTTTGGAGCAAATAGCTTTAGAAAGGGGAGTTTACAGGAAGAAATTAATATCTGGATTAAGGTTATATACAACTATTTTAATGAAGGAGAACAACTAAGAACATGTAATTGGGCCATTGGTGGAAAGTCAACCACAAAGGATCCATCTCTGAATTAAATGGGAGGTCTTTGAGGAAGTATATTTTGTATGGAGTTATTATATTATTTGTTAGACTTATAACTCAAGAAATTCACAGCAGCAGGTATAACATTTTGTCTTCCAAAGTTTTCACACAATCACATTTTTGTGAAAGGCATTGGACTGTGACTTTGGCCCACAGTCACTTTGGGAATTTCAGTAGCCAAGGTTGCTTAGTCTTAATATTTTGAATCCTATCCATAATATGAATTGATTTTGCCCTTGACTTTTACCAACTTAAGTGGTTAGGGTTAGCTTCTCTCAAGGTTTTAGATGTGCCTTTCATTATTTGCTGGCTGTGCAGGAGAGTGTAAATTTTAATTTTTCTATAGGTCTAATTATAACCAATTTTCCTCTTATTTGTTTTTCCAGTGTTTGATTGTTGGAGGTGGTCCCTGTGGCTTGCGAACTGCCATAGAACTTGCCTTTCTTGGAGCCAAAGTCGTTGTCGTAGAAAAGCGAGACACTTTTTCAAGAAACAATGTACTTCACCTCTGGCCGTTTACAATTCACGATCTTCGAAGTCTGGGAGCTAAAAAGTTTTATGGGAAGTTTTGTGCTGGATCAATTGATCACATTAGTAAGTCATAATTACATCATTGTTTCTTTCTGAAAAGGCACATTATACCCATGGTGAATACTTTTTGTTTAGAAATATTAGCTGTAATTTAATACCAAGATGTAGATGTAGTGTGTTGAATAGTTAACAGCACACAGATTTGCAGCTCTTCCTGATATGATATAACATTTATTATAATGGATTCATATGCTGAAAACAAGATCCACTGCAGAGAAAGTCTTTGACAGGTATTTTTGGAAGAAGACAAAATTAAGTGCTTTGCAACTCCTTCACAGTGTGTGCTTCCTGTCAGTATTTTCAAGTGTTTTTTATCTAACCTGGATGCCAAAGTGTTCCTTCAGAGTTTTAACAATATCAGTTGACAGAAATTATCTTTACATAAATTGTATTTATGTACAATTTTTCAGTAGGACTTGATGTATATGTCAGAGTTCAACTACAGCCTCCATTTACAATCTGGATTATTCATAATAAAACACAGGAATGGGATTTCAATTTATAGGCTTGGATCCTTTCTTAACATTAAAAGAAAACCATAAAAAACTTCTTGGATATCTTCCAGAATGAAAATAAATGGTAAATAATGAATGATGCAGGAACCAAAGTGGAGCAGTGGTTAGAGTGCAGTACTACAGGCTACTTCTACTGACTGCTGCCTGCCTGCAATTTGATAGTTCAAATCTCACCGGTTCAAAGTTGACTCAGCCTTCCATCCTTTCAAGATTGGCAAAATGAGCACCCAGGTTGTTATTGGCGATATGCTGACTCTGTAAGCTGCTTAGACAGAACTGTAAAGTACTACGAAGTGGTATCTAAGTCTAAGTGCTAATGCTATTGCTACGACCAAAAACCTAACATGTAACATTTGTCTTTCATAGGCATTAGACAACTTCAGCTTATGCTCTTCAAGATTGCACTGCTGCTGGGAGTTGAAATCCATGTGAACTTAGAATTTGTGAAAGTTTTGGAACCTCCTGAAGATCAAGAGAATCAAAGTAAGTTGTGTTTTTTTGTAAGGAAGAATTTCACATGAAAAAAGAATGTTTAATATTAGAAAACAGGTAACTATTTTTGGTGCAACTGATTATATCTGTAGAGGTGTGCAAAGCATTTTTTGTGGCTAATCTGTGTCGAGAGCATAATATGTATTTTTGATTTGTATCTGTAGTGAAACTGTGTAACTCGATCTAGGCACAGATGGAAACTTGTGTTTTGGGCAGAAACGTTTGTAGAGAAAGCCAAAGTTATTGGTGATACATGATTGCTAAGTAAAGGAAGGTATGAGAAAGGAAGGAAGGTATGAGAAAAGTCAAGTGAATGGAAGGAGTAGATCGATAGCTCTCATCCTGACTTCAAGGACAACATACACAACCAGCCTCTCTGTCCCGATCTTTTCCATTGTTTTTCCTCCTATTTCCCTTCAGCTGCTAATGCTACTATCCTTGGCTTCAAAAGCAGCATCAAGGGGAGAAGAGAAGAAAGGTTGAGCTTAAACTATGTGGAGTAGGAGAAGATAGCAATCCTTAGTACCTTTCCAAAGTTTGCCTCAACCATATCTTCAAACAATGAAATCCTTCTGGATTTCTGTTGTTGAACTACTGTCCACCCACAGTTAAGGAAAACGTCTGAAACAGTATGTGTTTGTTTTGATTTGAAACAAAATTAATTTTCCATTTTATGTGCATCTCAATATGCGACCTGAATAAATCCATATTTTTGTGTATTTTATTTATTTTGCCTAATGTTAAGTTTTAGAGCAGATGTTGTACCACATTCCTTCTCTCAAACTGAAGGATTGACTCTGAAGATCTTTTCCAAAGAAGTTAAGGATGGATTGAACAAAGAAGCTAATTACAGGAATTAATTAACTAATTAATTAGTAACTAATTAAATTGTGATTCAACATTAAAATTGGAATCTTCTTGCTTATAAATGTTTGTTATGACATGATACACTTTTGAGTAGAATACATATGTTAGATTTATAGAAACTAGGTTCATGATCATATTAGTGTTAACTTTCTTCATGTATTGCTTGATTATTGTTTAACAGAAGTGGTATGGATGAATATAATTATCAATTAATAAATTGAATCTTTTAAAAAATCAACTAGAAGAAAGTAGGGAAGTTTTTCCTTTTCTTAACATGATTTGCATTATACATGTTACTGACATACAGACATACGCATAGTACTTGCTGACTAACCTCTTGATTTCAGAAATAGGTTGGAGAGCTGAATTTCTCCCAATGGATCATCCCTTATCAGAATTTGAATTTGATGTCATAATTGGAGCTGATGGCCGAAGAAATAGTTTGGAAGGTATGTTAAAAATAGAATAAAAATTCAATTGAACAAATATCTAAAATGGAAATAAAGAGCCTGCTCATTTTTTTTTCTTTATAAAGAACAATAAAGTAGATTAGACTTTTAAAAATTATTACACTTTTATTTTTAAAAAATATACTTGGCTATTATCAAAAGAAAGAGACATGCACTTTCAAAACTGCAAAATCTAATGCAGAACTTTTCATTATTCCAGTAAGAACACGTTGTGCTATTTGGATCACAATTCTGCAGGTGCACAAAATGAATATACAGAATACTTGTTGCTATGTATTTAATGAACAGTTTACTTTAGGAAGCAATAAATTGACTTAAAAGATAATCATTGTGAATTTGGCATAGAGTAACCAAATGGAAGGAGAGAGAGATCCTGTTGTACTAGCTGTTAAATATTTTAAAAGGAATTTAATAATAATAAATATCACAACTCTAAGTTGGCTTTTGTCAGTGAGACATTAATTAAATAGCCCTTGCTATGTCATATGATTGAACATCTTCATGCCTATTCCTATTGGGATTTAATTAGATGTACATTAATTCTTTGGAACTTCTAGATTTTAGTTTACAACTTTTGAACTTAATATCACTACAGAGAGTTGTGCCTACCCAATTTTGGAGAGAAAAAAACCAGTACATCTCAGGTAGAGGTACCAGAAGAATGTGGTAGAATATTCACAATAAATGTATAGCAAAATAAGTAAACTCTTTAGGAGATTTGTAAATAAATGTTTACACTCAGTATGAAATATGTAGAGCTGCCCAGTGGAAAAATGAAGGGGGTCAGTTTTAAGAATCTGATGCAGGAAATTATATAGTTAGAGGAGGTATGATTCAATTAAAAGAGGACATAATAGAGAAATGCTAGGAGAGAAGAACAAACATTTGAGAGTTTTCTTGCTCCAAATTAATTTGCAATCTTTGTGATCTCCACCTGAGTTCTTGGGTAAATGCCCAAATTTCTCATGGAAAAAAGGTATTAATCAACTCATGTTATTTTTCCTTCTAAGGTTTTAAAAGGAAGGAATTTCGTGGAAAGCTAGCTATTGCCGTTACTGCCAACTTTATAAACAGAAATACCACTGCAGAGGCCAAAGTGGAGGAGATTAGTGGTGTTGCTTTTATTTTTAATCAAAAATTCTTCCAAGATTTGAAAGAAGAAACAGGTGGGTATTCTTTTAAACATGGCAGAATACAGCAAACTGGCAACCAAACTGAATAGCAGAGGTATAAAATCAGAGATAGTACTTAAATTCATATGCATTAAGATTTTGTTCTTCATTGATTTACACAAAAATCTATAATAGACAGCTTCACTTATTATGCTAAATCAAAAGCAATCTAGCCACATATTTGCGCAGTAATGTGGATTTTTTTCCATGTTGTGGATCACCCCTTTCCTGTGGATGTAGGAATATAAAGGATTAAGAATAAACTGATTTGACTTCATTTATTGTTTTGATTAAATTTAAATTGGAATTGAGTATGAATGCTGACTAGTTAGACATTTAATATATTTCTCTTACAATGATTTCTGTAGGCACATGTAAGTTGCTTGCAAGTTTTCAAGGGTGCTTGCATATCAGGAACATGGATTGTGAACTTCTGGTCATAGCATTAAGTATGAACTAAGTCATAGTTATTTCAAAGGTGCTACTTGTTGCAATAAAAATAGCAAAATGTTTTATGACTTTCTACTTTAGAATCTTCCCAGCCTTTACTTTTTCATATTATTTTCTGGTTCAATTTCCCCCCCAACACTTGGCATGAATACAAGGAGAAATTGAAATCCCTGAAACATGCTGTTTGTTTACAAATTTAATATGACATAGTTTTTAACTAGGATAGGATTTTAGATTATGGACAAACATGGTTTAATGTGTTCATCTTTAAGTTATAAAACCCTGATGTTTTTAATGTCAACATCAAGTTAGAATTTAATTAAATGTATTGTTGAGAAAGTTAAGAGCATGAATGAATTTGAATTCAAAATTTAGGAGGTTAAAAATGTTTTTTTCCAAATTTTTTGAATGTTTTTTTTTTAGTAAAAAAATTGAGAAATATACACTGCTTTATTATATGAGTTTTCATGTCTTGCTCGTCTGTAGGAATTGACCTGGAAAATATTGTTTACTATAAAGATAGCACCCACTACTTTGTGATGACTGCAAAGAAACAGAGCCTTCTGGAGAAGGGTGTCATTATTAATGTAGGTATCTAATGTATTTTTTTTCCTCTGTATAATAGTACACATTCTGATCTCTGAGCCTGGACAGAATCTTAAAACCCAGATTGTCTTTTTTTTAAAATCACTACTATCCACATTATTTGGGACAGATTATTTTCAGGATTCTCAGCCATTGTATTCCCAAAGTACTGGGTGGAAATTCTAAGTGTTGCAGTCACAACACACCTGATGAACTACAACTTGACAAAAGCTGAGCTGCATTTTCAAATTGAAATATAACAGAAAATTGTGTTAAAGTATTCAAGAACACTTCACTGAAATTGAGTGTTCAAAGAAGATGGAGAGGAAACATGCAGGGATGAGACTTCATCATAGTATTAATAAACTAGGGCATGTTCTGGGTTAAAATTGTTATATCTCAATTGAGCTATTTTATAAATTCATAGAATTTGTATTTGTGCTACATTAATAATAATTGTGGATTATGAGAGTTGAACCCCAAATTTTCTGGAAAGTAATTGAGGAAGAGTGATGTACTGTATGTCTTTGGCAACTGAGTTTTATTGATAAAAATAAATTGAGAAAAGTAAGAGCTGCACCTAGGCAAGAAAAATCAAATGCATAGGTATAGAATAGTCAATAACTACTTACGTATGAGCCAGCAGTGGGCTATAACTGCCAAAAAAGCCAATGCAGTCCTAGGCTGCATCAACAGAGGGATAGAATCAAGATCATGAGAAGTGATAGTACCAGTCTATATTGAACTAGTCTTGACTAATATTCCACACTTGGAATATTACATCCAATTTTGGTTGCTGTAGTACAAGAGAGATACTAAGACCCTAGAAAGAGTACAGAGAAGAACAATAAAGATGAAAGGTATCTGGAGCCTAACCATATGATGAAGGGTTAAGGGAACTATGTATGTCTAGCCCATTGAAGAGAAGGTTTAGGGGTGACACAATAGCTATCTTCCAATACTTATGGGGCTGTCACAGGGCAGAGGGCTTCAACCTATTCTCCAAAGTACTTGAGCTCAGGATGAGCAGTAACAGGTGGAAGAGCATTAAAGAGAGGTGCATGGTCCCTTCCGATGCTTTTATTCTATGTTCCACATACTGTCTGAATTCATACTTTTTAAAAAGAAATGTTTTTAAAAAATCATTTTTGTTAGGTACAGATATATTTGATTTAGATGCCCTCAATGGCTTAGAGCAAGGGTCCCCAATCTCTGGACCATGACCCGGTACCATTCAGAACCGGGTTTTGCAAGCGGTGGGTGAACATGTGCGCATGCAAAACTCCATTTGCATGAGCTGCAAATGGAACTATATATGCATGTGCGGGCTTACCCAGAACCACCCGCTCTTCCCCCCTGCTACCAGTCCACAAAGGCAGAAAATATGGAGACCATTGGTCTAGAGCAAATTAAATTGCTGGCATATAGTATGCATATATCTTCACCATGTATTGTTATATGTAATTATTTGTTTTATCTAGCATCCATTGGACTGTCTAGGAATTTTAACAATAGACATCTCTGATTTCATTTAGGATTTTATTGATACTGAAATACTACTGTGTGTGGAAAATGTAGACCAAGACAATCTATTGTCCTATGCAAGAGAAGCTGCCGACTTTGCGACTGATTATCAATTGCCTGCCTTAGATTTTGCAATTAATCACTATGGGCAACCAGATGTGGCCATGTTTGATTTTACTTCTATGTATGCCTCTGAAAATGCTGCATTAATACGCGAGAGGCATCGACATCAACTGTTGGTTGCTCTTGTTGGAGACAGTTTAGTAGAGGTAGGATGAAATACACATTTGTTCAAGATAGCTTTCAAAAGTGATTTGCTTTGTAATAACAGTTTTATGAACCATCATCTAGTAAATATTGCAATTTTGAATGCTATAATACTATTCTCTAACTTAAATGGTAGGAACTTCAGAAGCATTCACAATCTATACCAAGATGGTTTTTTTTTTTAAATTACTATTATTATTGTCTGATTCTCCAGCTCTTAGCTATTGTGTTTGTTTTTCCTCTACTTTCTCCTCTTTTGTGTAAATTGCTTACCTACCTGTATCCTCTGCTTTCTCCCCATAATATTATGGCTGGATGATATCTAGATTATAATAAAGAATTTGATTTTTTTTCCATTGGAATTATATTAGATGTTATCTATAACAAAAATGTGTTTCACAGCCGTTCTGGCCAATGGGTACTGGTTGTGCAAGAGGATTCCTAGCTGCATTTGACACAGCGTGGATGGTGAAAAGCTGGGCACAGGGAAAGTCCCCTCTTGATATCCTAGCAGAAAGGTAAGTCTATATATGCTTGTGTTTATATACCAGAGAAGTGAGTAAATTCCATGTTTTCACAGAGTGTAAATTGATCCCAGTTTGATCCAAAGTCCCCACTATCTGTGGCTATCTAGATATCAAGTATGCCTTACTATTGGCCTTGGACACTTGGTTGCTACAGTTGATTTCAGTAGCATCTAGGTGACCTAGTTCTATCATATTTGATAATGCTTCTATTATCTTATTCTTGTTCTTATTTTGTGACCAATTTGTTTCTCATTTGCTTCACTGCAATCTTTGCCCAATTACAAGGAGGAGAGGTTTTTTTTTGAGGGGGGTAGATGTTATGTATGGTAACGATGAAGTCAAGTGTCTGAATTTGGAAAAAGGTCATATAAGGGCTGAGAAAGCATATTTGTGGAAAGCAAAAGACAGCACAGCTGTAAATGGAAACCTGACTGACTAATAATGGCTGTGAAATCTCTACCTACTGCTGTTTTGTGGCTAAAGGAGGAGTTGTTTCTTGTGCGAGAGGAAAATTAAATCCAGATGATTTAGGGTGATGTAATCTTACATCATTGTAGCTATTTTTCTGCCTTAGGAAGACCTATATTTTTCTGTATGAGTTATTGTCATCGTAAGCATTTTTCATACTTTGGCAAATCTAAATTCATTGTCTAAATAAAGGTAGGTGCACATCAGGTGAGGTTGAAAACTGCCTGCCTCTTAAAATCAAACAGGCGTATTTCTATTGCTGT